GCGAATCCCTCCGGGAGGCGCCAGTCTCATCCTCTTATCTTTCCCTCGCACCTCAGGAGATGAAAGAAAACATTTTTCTCCCTGAGTATGGCCTTCATAATTCCATTCCATCACACAATAAGAACTTTCAACAGAGGCACCACAGGTAATGGTAGTGAAATTGAGTCAACAATATGGCAGAATTAAACAAAAATATACTTCCCTAATTCCCTTAGGCTGTTTATTAAAGTGATTTAGGCTGTTGATGTATGTGCCTCAAAAGGTTGTGAATTTTCCATAATCCATTACTAAATAAAATTTATTTTTTCTAATATTCTCAAATACCTACTTGTACTATCCGACTGAGATGACAATCAGCAGCCAGCTCCAAGCCCTGTTTTTCTGCCCAGGCTTCAATGTGTCCCAACTGTTGGCGAATAATAGCTCCCCAATAATGTGAACACAGTCCTGAATCTGGATCAGTAACCAATCTGTTAAAAAGCCACATGTTGATAAAATGAAATAGCTGGGAGAAGAGCTGTATTGTCAGTGCAGCATTCACTCTACATCGTCGCAACAGGGACATGGCTCCAGTTAATGTATGCAAGACATCATCTACAAGAAAAAAGTTACACATGATATTTTACTCAGCAATAAATTCTAAGTAGAACTATATATCTATGTTAATATCAAAAGCTAAATTCTAAGTGGAAGTCTTTATTGCTGAAAGGTAACACTGAACATTTTATATTACATTAGTTTATAATATATCACACTATATTATATTATAAAAATTAATATTAATTTAATATATAATTAATATACATAAATTGATATGGACTAAAAAAGTTTTTATTATTTTAATCCCTTACAATTTTCTTCCTCCTATCTCTCTCCTCACAGAAACAAAAGCAAGCGATTGGCTGTTACTATTACATAACTGGCAACTTGCCAAATCTGTTACCTTAGTTGTAACATAAACAATATGTAAATATGGGAGCAGCAGTCTTTCTTATTTGCAGGTACAATCTATAATAAATTAAATGCCATATGTTTCCCTACTTAAGTCACAAAACAGGATAATTAAGGAATCCACTGGTGATTTATAGTTATTTATTACTTCCCAATATAGCTTTATTGTTGGGCATTCCAGTATCACTTCAAAAACTCTATTCCTGAGCATTCCTGCCCTTCAAATTTTAGCTGTGTTTCTCCCAAACTTTACACAATTTTTTACAGTTAAGCAACTGTAAAATGTTTTTGAAACACTACCATCTAAATTCTACTATGTTTTAGGATTCCACTATTACAGTTTCAGTAACATAATATAAACCACCAAGTTTTATGTAATGAATCTTTTCTCCTATAGTTTGTTAGTGCACACACAAGCCATATCACAGTAAGTTACATAAATATGAACTTATTGTAAGACCCCATTAGATCATAATTGTAATATTCATTTATACCTCTACAGGCGAGTATATGTACTTACATTCACAATTACATTCTAATATCACATCAACAATAATGTAATGGATGTCTGGGTTTTCAGTACGTGATGGGGATCCCTAGGTAGATATGACTTATTGTGCATGAACACACTCAGCAGGGTTTCCTAACGTTACATCAGTCTTGTCAAGGCAACATACATTATAATTAACATAACATACAATAATCTAACCTATTTTAGGTCTTTGAGGACTATTCTCTTCTGGATCATCAAGGAATGCAGGCATGTAGTTATTAAGCTCTGACTGAAGACAGTGGACCAGATATCTGAAAAAGTAAGTTGTGTGAAACTGATAAGGCTCAAGGAGGCTTTTTAAAAGCTTATTAGCTCTAAAAGCAGATGAATAACTGGCAAATAAGCAAGCTTTCGGTGCTAAGAAAAATAATTTGATTACAAATGCAGAAAATCTAGATCTCCTAGATGATGCCTATACATACCAACTCAACTAGTAGCCTACATATATATATTCACAAGTTATGGAGTATCTTTGCTATACTATTTCCAAGAACTAGAAATATCCCAGCACTAAAATTGAATTAAAAATATTAAACTTTGGTCAAGTCATAAATTTATATAAATTGAACCAAAATCTCAAATTAACTTTTATTTAATGGCACTTATCTTAACCATTTTGGTGGGGGGAATCACTAGGATTGATTTCCCTATTTAACAAGGTAGGAACGCTGGACAGTATATAGAAATTTCATGTATTTAACCTTTTATTCTGATTTTTCTTTTGGGGGATGGTAGGGTATCTTAAATTTTTTTTGGGGGGCTATTGTGTTAATTTTAAAACATGATAGCTAGTCCAATATTCCTGTATATTTCTTAGAGCTCCATACCAAAGATTTATTTTGTAACTATAGAATAACATAGCTTTTCAGTATAAATATTGCAGCATAAATAGCAGTATTATTTTTAAAAATACAGACAATACACATCAAAAACATTTACATTTTTAGAAACATACATTATTTAGTTTCCAAACACACTTAGAATTCAGTCAGAATAAGTAACTCTTCATTAAGAAAAAGTAAAAAGGATCCCCAGACATAAATTAGTTTTTCTTACTTGAATGCCATCTGAACTAGGTGTGCCAAAACATCTTGAGCATCTAATGTGATTCGGCTTAAGTCTCGATCCTGCTTAATAAAGTTTAGCAATTCAGATGCATTTGCCATCCAAAAAGCAAGTGCCCCAGCAATATTCTTCTGTTTCTGCAAATATTGAAAAAGGAGTGTAAATGTCAACATGAATTCTTCCTATATTTCAACTTTCGTTCTGTCAAAGGCTCTGTTAGATAGACCAGTACCACCTAATAACCAAACATATCTCAGATACCAGATATTTGCAAAGAATTTATATGAAACCGCAAATAATATACAGTGCGTGTCACAACTGCTTTAAATTGCAAGTTGAATGATAAAATATTAAATTCTCCAAATGTTATTAATGAAATGGACTTAGCATGTTGTCATGGAATGTTGAAAGCTTAGATGTATGCATTATCTGGTAATCTGCATGTGTGTGAGCACACATTCATTAATGCCCACTGTCACCCACAGATACTGCCTAGTCACTGGCTTTGACACCAAGCAACTCAGTATCAAGTACTGATCTATCTCACCCTTTCCCGACCACAAATGCTAGGCCAGGCAACCTCAGATGAGATCCAAAGAACAGAACCACAGACAAAATAAACAAAAAAGGAAGAAAAAGAACTTTTGTCATTACATCTCTGTATTGAAGTGCGTTAAGCAGAAATTATGAAATGCTGATAGGCTGCGCAGTCAAAAAAGGATTTTAGTACTGCATGTTCCAGTTGCTGAATGAGTGTTATGTTCAATCCAGCTGTAGAAATATTGTATTTTACATGGAAGCAGCATGAGAAACTGAGCTAAGCCAACGTAGCTAGGATCAGTTCCCAGCAATATATCCTACCTGATCAACCTGGTCTACCTCCTGGAGAAAAACGAAGGAAATCAAACAGAAGAAAGAAACTTGTGAACAATCATGATAATTTTTGAAATAAAACACTAAAATATGAAAGCACAAGACTTATGCTCAGTCACATTAAAACATTTCACTGGGGGAACATGATATAACTGCAAAACAAAAAAAGAGGTATACAAGAAACATTTTAGAGGAAGCCCAAGTTTTTCCTCCAGCTAATCTATATAAATGCATTAATACCAAGGGCACAATCCTGCATGGAGTAATGTCTAAATCTGTCCATGGAAGCCAGTAAAGTCTTCTACCTTGACAACAGCAATAACAGCATTGATTAAGAATGTACAATAGTTGTTACAGAAAGGAAAAGAAAACCACCACAAAACCACTTCAAAACTGCATTATTATTTTTTTTCAGTAGCCCTTGAATCCATGGGTTCATAACTTGCCCTTGTATTATTTCTCTCGTCTCACCCATTTTTTCCCACTAAAAATCATTTTCTATGCCACCAAACAACACTTCCAAAACACTGAGATTGCTGCACAGCAAGGCCAGAGACTTGAGAGGCACATAGATATTCAGGATGTGCCATGGGAAGTGCTGCAGGAACAGGAGTGGCAGTGGCTTAGCAGCTCACCTTAGCCTCAGCTGACAGGCCTCCTGCCAACTGAGCTCTGGTCAGCCAAGGATGCACAGTCATTGTCATTGTCCAAAAGAATCTCCTGCCAAGTAATACCAACACTGGAAAATAAAGAATGAAGCTGGATTTGTGCAAGAGAGGGAAAGAGGTGTCAATGGGGGTAGGGAGGGAGGTCTGGCCACCCTGCCACAAGAGTCTCTGTTGGATAAGAACTTGGAAAGACAGCAAACAAGGTTTCCCTCCTAGGCAAAAGAAGGTCTCAATCAGGCAAGGAGAGAAAACAGAACGGAAAGCAAACAAGAAAAGATTAAGAAACAATATTTTTGCTCAGCAATAAATGAGAGGGAAAGGGGAGAATTTTTGTAGCTCATAGTAGAATGGGTCCCCCATATTATATCATTCTGGATATGATTTTGAAAAACGTTTACATATTAACCTAATAATAAAATAAAATATTGGTTAATGAAAAATGCTGCCAACTAAGTGATCAAAATGAATAAGCCCTATTTTGTACTTGTAAATAGTTCTGCTTCGCACTAAAGCTCTTTCATTTAATAGATTTTTGTTTAACGGGGTATTGTATTACTCTTGATTTTCTTCATTTTTGACCACTAGAGATTTTTGTATCAATCTGTAAAAGAGTTTAGCATTGTAGCCCTTGAGCTAACAAACTAGTTATCATGTGACATTCATGGCAATCTGAATTTTGAGTACCCTGCATTAGAATGTGAGCTTTGGTTTTGTTTTGTTTTTAAAGTTATTTACCAATATAAGAATTGATTTTCACAGAATCTCAACCTGATTATCTTCTTGAATTTACTTTACTCAGTTGAGATATACGTACCACATCAGACTATTGGGTGTGTGTGTTCAATAAGATATAGTCTACCTAGGGAGGCACAAATGAAAATTTGGCAGGGCCAGGATTTTTTGGGATGGACTTGGTGCTGGGCAAGAATGAGGTTTGTGTGTGCATGTGGTTAGGGGAGACAAATGCTGACATGCGATGCCAACATACAATTGCCACGGTGATATAATTCATGTATATAACTGCAGCCTTTGTGTGCTGATCATCCCATTCAAGTTGTTATTCTGATCATACTAGTTTGGGACGGGTTTGAGAATTTTGTTTGTTTTATGTCAAGCCTATTTTAGGGGTTAGACTATTTTAAGGTCTTCCACCTCAAAATGGCAAGCATGGCACGAATGGCAGGAAACCTTTTTCCAGTTTTCCACAACTATGATCAGAGATGGCTCTGAATGATACAAAAAAAAAAAAGAGGAGGAGGAGGGGGGGGACCTATTAAATCAGTCTTCCCCAGGCAACTAATTGACCCTGGGGGTTCAAGAGACAGCTTGGAATTTTTCTCAAGGGTTTAATCAGTAGTTCAGCTGAGGTCTTGGTTGCAGCCTGGAATGGGTATGTGGGAAGGACCTTGGATCAGATTGCTCCTATGCAGCCTCTCACTGTGTATCAATTCCAAGGTGCTCCTTGGTTTTCCAGAGGAACTTTGGGAGATAAACGGGCAGAAGAGGCTCCCAGAGTGTCATCAGAGGAAGACGAAGAGTTAATCTGACCAATAAGACTGTATTAGAGGTTTCATCATGGCAACAAGAACAGTGAAATGTAGCTAATTTTCCGCTCTTATTGCATCCACATATACCCAGCAGCTTTTTTTAAAGTGACTCATTCCTTGCTGGGAAAGGCCAAGCCACAGGACCATCTGCACAACCACTGTGGGGAATATTTGAGGCATCTGGCAGATAAAGTCACTCAGATTTGCTCAGAGTTGGACTCTGACTGGGCAGGCCCTAATCAAGGTAACAGAAGCAAGATCTCATGTGATTACTTGGGGCAAGTTGGAATACAAAGTACTGGTATAGCACTGGTCACACTTGTTGGTGACCTCCGACAGAACTGTGATGGGCATAGTACAATGATCAACTTCTCCTTGATATCTCAATGGCTTTTAACACCATTGACCATGACATCTTTCTGGACTGCTTACAGTGATTAGGAGTGGGAGGTGTTGCAGTGGCTCTCCTCCTTTTTCTGGGGTTGAGCCCAGTCAGCGTTGGCAGGAGGGGAGAGATCAAGCCAGAGATCCCTGACATGTGGATTTCCTCAGAGCTTAATGCTCTCACTCCTCTTATTTAACATCTACATGATGCTGCTGGGTCTGATATCTGTCACTTTGGGGTCAGGTGTCATCACTATACTGATGATACCAAATTGTATATCTTGTCCCCAGACCAACCAACTGATGCTATTAAGCTCTTGTCCCAGTGTCTGTAAGCTATATGAATCTGGATGGGGAGGAAGCCAAACCCTGATGAACCCAAGCAGCAGTGGGTATTTGGACCACCTGGTTCTGGAGATGTTCCACTTTTAGTCCTTTTGTATTCCAACTTCCCCCTTAGGAATTGTGCTGAGGCTCTTGAACTCACAGCTTCTGGTTGAGCAGGTAGCAGCTGTGGACAAGAAAGCTTTTGTATAAATTCATCTAGTGTGACAGTTGTACCCATAATTGGACAGGGAGGCCCTTCATGGCCTAGGGCCTGGTTACTTAAGGTACCATCTGTCTTCCATAGCTTCTGCCCATTCTATATGATTAGGCAATGATCTTGTTCTTTGGGTCCCCTCAATTAAACAATGTCACCTGACCGGATCCAGGAAGCAGGCTTTCTCTATCTCAGCACCTGCCCTCTGGAACAATGTTCCTCCCAGAGATTTGTATAACCCCACCTTGATCCTATTCAAGTGAGCCCTTAAAACCTGGCTCTTTCTCCAGGCCTTGGGCTAGAATGGTTGGTGGACCCCTTATGGGATGCTTGATCTTGTAGTGTTGGTGTTTTTTTTCCCCTGATATTTGTTTTTGCATTTTGTTTAAATTGTTTCATGCTGTCATACCACACAGATGGAGTCAGGCAGCCTATAAATTAAATTAAATCAAATAAATATTGCCAACTAATACATTAGAGAAGAAATTCTTCCATCTACATCTGTTATATTCTCAATCTTCAGTTACTCACTTATAAATCCCAAAACTCAGAATTTGTGAAACTGATTTTATGTCCTGATATAATCCATGTATTTTGGCATTTAAAATAAATAATTATAGATCATTATCATACTAAATAATTTTACCTATATTTTAAACATGTATTTCTCTCTTTATTGTAACAATCCAAAATATCAATCTTATCGAAGTATAAATAATGGAGACAAAAAGCGACATGATTTCACTCCTCACTTAAACAGAATGTGTTAATATAATTACTAATAAGTTATTCATTCCCTACAAATATCCAGCTACCTGTTCTTCCCCATATAATATTCCATTATACTTTTCTTGCACAGAATCTGGAAGATGCAGAAAAAAAAATCCCTTGCAAAAAACTTCAGGAACTAGTCCAAGCAATCACCAGGAGTCAAAAACTGACTCGAAGCCACACACAAACAAAAAAATGCCTTTAAGCAAGTGCCTGCCTCAAAGCAGGTGATGCAGCATAGCTAAGCCCTCTAAGTGAGATGACAGCCCACTGTAAGAAGTACTCTACTGGCTTCTATTGAACAGCTGTGCACATTAGTCTTTGCAGAATGATACTTCAAATCTACAGCATTATTAAAGTAACAGGAGACATGTGAAGACAGAAACAGGACAATTTAAAAGAAAATGAAAATTGGAACACTAATAAATTGGGTTGCATAACTAGGAAGTAATGTTTTGTTCCTATAAATGGAAAAACTATTATTTGGACACAGAATATAAAAAACTAAGTGATGCTCAAGCTACAGCACTACTTATTTATATTTCAAAGCCTGCCATATTTAATTATAATTATTATCAGTAATAATTTATTATCCCTGCATAGAGGGACAATAGGTGGGACCCAGAGTTTTCCTTCCATAAACAGGAGAAATCCACCTATGACTGAAGTCTTGCTGAAGAAAAAGGGCACAATTTACCTCTTCCCCACTTCAGCCACCCACACCTTTTCAGCAACTTTCTACAGCAGTTTTTCTGGAGGAATAACGGACTGTGAAAAATTACCCACCCACAGCCATCAGCAGAGATGCCTAGGAAGAGAGTTCTATTCACAGCAACTTCCATTAAAAATATGATACTTTTATAACATGATTACCATCATATTCCACAAAACTGAACCAATGCTGATAGTTCAAACAAAATTTGATTTGTGCAAGAGATTTGTGCAAAAAAACCCAAAATTCAGCATTGGTTCAGTTTTATGGAATATGATTTGAAGATAATTTGAAATAGATTCTGGAGATCTACCAATAAAACATTTGAATGTTAGCACTATAACAGAAATTTATATCATTTGTATCTCCTGTTCATTCCATATCAAGTAGCATCATTGCTATTAAAAATATTTTCAATATCGTTTGTAGGTTTAATACAGAAATCTGACTGTACTTCGGCCACAAATAAAGAGTTATTTCATACACCATTACAAATGGCATTAATGATATCCAAAACAAACTGCGCTTATGATGTCCAATATAAATACAACTTGATAAAACAATCCTGCAAAAGCAAAGTCTTTTTTGTTGTTATAAAAAATTAGTATAGATAAAATATATTCAAAGACATCCACTGCATAGGTTCTTAGACTGAAACTCACCTGTATAACTCCTTCCATCATGCTCACCATCTTGTTGACTATTGCAATGACTTTGTGAGTTCGTTCAGCAGGACTGATGTCAGGTCTGTACTGGCTTGATAATACATACCGACACGTCATGTACAAAACATAAGTAGGTGACAGTTTAAAATGAACTGTTGAGCTGTTGGTGTAATTGATGATGGCAGACAAAAAAGCATCCTCAGCTGAAAAACAAAACAAAACCAAAAAAAGGGATAAGCAAACTCTTAACTTAAATAACTAAGAAGCAACAGTATGACACCACTTCAGAAAAAAGAACAATTAATTATCAGGGTCACTTCCATGCTTCAAACATTAACCCAAAAAGATTTTTACAAGATTAAATTACTGAAAATTAAATAATAATGGGCAATAACAGCTAGGTAAAGCAAGATGCAGAAATGAGTTAATATACCTTATCAGGGAACTCTAAAGAATATTTATACCAATTATTTAAGTGCATTTTCCTCACTGTTAACCTAAAGCATGGCATATAATTTAGTACCTTTTCTGATTAATTTTATAGATGGATTTGGAGATATCCTTGCCTTAAGTGAAATAGTCAAAATCATGCATTTTGCCTTAAGATTCAGCATTTGATACCCTGGATCACTACTCCCAAGATTGACAAAATAGCTGCAGATTAATCCATTACAACTATCTTAGGCTGCTGCTTTCTAAAACACTTAAGTTCATTCTTGTTAACTAAAGCAGATCTTAATAATTCGGGGCTCTGCCAAACTCCAGGACAAAATTAATGCCTTTAAACTGGATTTTATGTCCCACATAAGAGATTTGGTTACAGCCATAAACTTTAAAAACTTATTAATTTTGCGTTATTAATGTAGAGAGTAGACTTCTATTTTTAACATGTCCATATCATCAAAATAAAATAGTTCATAATAAAAGTTGTTGTTACTCTTGATTAGTTTTGTTTAAAATGAAAATACATACTTACAGCTTTCCCTGAATTCAATGCTTGCAGGTAATATCAATTCTGGTCCATGTGCATCCTGAAGTCTAGAGGCAGAAAGCAGATCTTCAGAAAACCAGTTCAAAGAGTGCAAATTAATTTCACTTTCAAGAGATGCAGATTTTTCCAAAGGTTTTTGTTTTATGGCTGTATACATTTTGTATATGTGTGAAATAAAAAACACCGGAGCGCTGGAAAAATATCTTGTTACTTTCCTGCTCTTATTAGATTCAAGGTATTTATTCACTGTGAGGTTACATGTGCTCAAAAGACCAGCAAGCACACTTGAACTGAAGGTCTGCATTATTAATGTATTTGCGGTGCACAAAGTATTGTTCGAGACAGCCTGTCATCTACTGTAATTAGATCATGTTACTTAAACTCATACCCAGGGCAAAGCAAAAATGAATGAGAGGTTAATTTATAAACTATACTGTATAAGTATTACATGAAAGAGGGTTGCTGATCAGACAGCTCACCCAGGAGTAGATCACCTGGCAGATTTCAGTATGCCAGGGTACCCAGAAGAGGGATTCTGGTAGTACAGGTAGAAAAACAAAGTAAGAATCTCCAAATATGAAGGTTTGGGGGTTAGGTCAGCACTCTGAATTTGGCCCAGTAACAAGTTAGGAGACACCGAAAAAGTAAACACTGGTATAATATGATCATGACATATCTTTATTAATTTGTTAGATGTATACCTTATCTTTTCTCCAGAAGTAAAAGGCATCTTACATAGACTTATCCCTTAATTTTAGCCTCACAACAATACTGCATGGTAGACTGAGTTGAAAGTGATTCTGATTGTGATCAAAACATTGGGAAATTACACAGGTATATGTTCAGCAAGGTATTTATTAGAAATGTGCAGAATGTACATGGTCTGGATCTGATCTTAATGTAATCATGGCTTCCTCCCAATTTATTACTCTGCCAGTTACACTGAAATCTATCCTTTGCACTAGATGCCTTTGTTTTTTTTTTAAATATGTTATTGCTTTGACTGATTTCAGAAATATAATCTGCAAGTGAATAGATTACAATACTTGCATTTAAACAATATTTGCCAGCTTCAATTAATTCCTCATGTAATACTGGATTTAGCATGGCTTAAAAGGAGGTTGGCCCAGAAAAAAAAAGGTTGCTTCAAGCATGTGACAAACCAAATTTACTTGGAATGTTCCAAATTGATTGTGATCCAAAGAAGCAAAACCTTGGCCACCACAAGACACTGGTTCCACCACTGAGAACTGAACACAAGCCACTTGCTTCCCTTTTACCATATGGTCTCAAATGTAAGTAAGATGATGGCCCATGCTAACCAACTTACAACCTGACCTGTCAGGGAAAAAAATGGCCACAGGATTTTAAAAAATAAATAAAAGTAAGGCTTAATGACGCTGAAAGTTGCTGGCCAGAAATGGTCGACGCTTCAGCGGTTCGAGTCCAGCCTTCGCGTTAAACA